GGGGGGGGGAGGGGGGGGGGAGGTAGTCATGTTTTGCATGCCTTAGTTGTTAGACCGTTGACCGCGCATCCTCGAGAAGCCAAAGAGGGGGGAAGGGGGGGTGTTTTCATGTGTACGCATTGACTTCGCATCCCGACAACGCCGGGACACAACGATAGGCCGGGTTTTCGCCGGTCCATGGGGGGGGAGGGGGTACATCTATGATTATTATCCTTCATCATGGTGTTTGGTGACGTTGCGTGCAACGGCGACGAGAGCGAAAGAAGGATCCTCCCTCCTCGTCCAGGCATTCCCATGGGATATGAAATACTGCCGTAGATGTCAAGAACAAGCTACGCCTGGGCATTTAACCATCTACCCCGCCTAGCGCACTCGGAAGACGAGTGAGCTGTGTTGTGAAACACTGCCACGTTCTTTGCTGGGATTGCTACCTCGTGTTGTTGTATGGCGAGTAGGTCATCTCGCATGCGCATACCCCCGTGGAGCTGTCGCAGGTCCCGTGGGGGTAGGAGCAGTTATTGAGGCACTCGAGGTACTGGCAGTATTCCCCGTAGTACCCCGGGGTGCACATGCACCTTGACACGGGGAACTCGACGGAGCACCAGCCGTTGAAGGAGCAATTGTACTGACAGTCCTGCGTTGTGTGGGAGTTTGAGGTGTTCAGTTAGTTGGGCAGTTGTTATATTGCTGGCGTCAATTGGCGGAGAACAGCAAGCAAGGTTCTGAACTCTGAAAAAAAATCGCTTCCGGGCACAACCTGAAAGCACTGCATCCATTCGGGTTAGTAGTTGGAAGAATTCTGAGACAATTTGCCAACGAAGCACTTCAACAAGGTACGAAGGTCATCGTCACAAATACTTCGCTGAGGTGCCCGTGGCCGTGTTTTGTGTTGGAACCGCTCTTCCTGCCGTGGCACCGTTGTGTGACGGACAGACAGCAGCCCTCAATCTATTCTCCGAGAACGGTTGCCTCAGCTCATCACATGCCAAAAGTACCAGATTAATGAGATTGATGACGGTGAAAAATCTTGAAGATGTCACTGAAGAAAGATGTAGAAAGAATTTCGTTGTTATCTCGAAAGATGTAGAATCGCTCTCGACGAAGAAGCTGTAACGCGCGCAGAGGAGTACTAAACGACGAAACGTTGATTTGCGAAATAACACGCCAAACACCCCGTCAGGTAGACGATAGTCCTTCTTTGCTGTCAAAGGCGTCTCGTCCGTGGATGTGTTTGCCGAAGCCTCGGCCAGGGACTCCCCCATAGCGCTGGAGGAGAACCCGAAAGTGGAAAAGAACACCACTTTGCACAGCGATGCTGAGGGTCGAAAACAGCAGGAACTCCGAGAGAGCAAGCAGAAGGAGCTCCAAGGGTTGGCTGCGAGCCTGGCGCTGCTGCAGTCCGCTGGCCAAACCAACTTCCAACGTCAGTAGTCTAGTCCCCATCTGGCACAACGACAGGGGCCTGAGCCATCCACTTTTTTTTCGGGTTTACCTTCAGCGCTATGGGGGAGTTCCTGGCCGAAGCTTCGGCAAACGCATCCACGAACGAGACACCTTTGACGGCAAATCAGGACTATCATCTACCTGACGGGGCGTCTGGCGCGTTTCAATTCTACACCATTTCGCAAATCAACGTTTCGTCGTTTAGTGCTTCTCCGCGCGAGTTTCAGCTTCTTCGTCAAGAACGAGATTCTGAATAGATCTTCAACGTCATCTTTCGAGATCAACAACGAGATTACTTCTACATCTTCGACGACATATTATATATCTTCAAGAATTAACACCGCCATCACTTATTGATGCTTGTGTGTTTATCACCTGTTCCCTGCGTGAGTTTTTTTACTG